GGCTTTACTGAAGCAAAATATTTTTTTGGATGATAAAATTCTAACTTCAAGGAAATTGATGCTTTTCTCAAGATACAAAATAACAAAAGAGTAAAGGCTGAGCATACTGCAATTTTGATTCTTTCAAATCAGCTGTCTAGAAATGAGGGCTGATGAACAGTACAGTTCTTTCTGATCTGTGAAGCTTTTTGAGCACTCAGCAAGTCTTAAAGTAAGTTTGGCTAGTACTTTGCAAAACAAGGGTTTCCTCTTTTTGTTGTTCCATTGCAGGTTGTATACACTAGGAGTAAGAAAAAGTGAAATGATGATTTCTTGAACACTGAGAAGTACATTGTCTTTTCTCTCCCACAGATGAGGTTTGCATTAACAGCGATAAAATCCTTGCAGTCTGGTCTTTCAAATTGTCCTTTTCCCTGACTCAAATGTTACACAGAAGTAAATTCCTCTGGTAACATTATTTTCAATATTTTGCTATGTAAAAGTAAAAAGGGAAATATGTATTACTCATAAAATGTTTTCAATTGAGAGACATTACCACCAAACTTTTGCCTTTCCTGCAATATCAAATCAATTATACAAGATTTCAGAATTTCTAAGCCAGAAATAAAATTGGAATGGAAAAGGTAACGTCTTTATTGTCTGTAAGAACGACAACTTCTAATCTTAAAGCACATCCATCTAACCAGTTTGCCAAGCAAGCTGACCTAGATTTGAAACAAACAGCATCTAAAAATATAATGCTAAAATAAGTAATGCACAGAGAGTTCTGCCATCAGCAACACTACAAATCTGATAAGAAGGGCATTCTGCTATAAAAGCACAGCCTTTTAGTTATATGCCAAACTTCAGCTCAAAGTATTTAATGTAAGAATAAATCTTCTCTTTATTTCAGTGTGGTCAAGTGAATAAGATCCCAACACACACCAATCAAAATGTCAAATTTATATAAAAGATTTACTAGAGTATGTAGGGTGAAACGTCAGCTCTGCTGAAATGCACCAAAATATTGCTACTGACACAAAGAGCAAAGTTTTCATCCAAATCACTAATTCGTACTGAGTGTTTAAGCTGGCCCTGAAAAAAAGAACTGACCTCTGAGGTCTGTATTTTTGAACTGGTCTCTAATTCCTTCAGTCTCTTCTAGCCTCTATGTTGAAAAATTCTGGACCTGATGAATTCAGTTTCCTTTTACTTCATCTTCAGTTTTGGGCCCTCAGGCATTTCTGTCACAGTAAAGTAAAGGACATGCTCCAAAATCCTTACAACTTAAGTCAACAAATTAAGTCAATTTGCCTTGTGTGATGGTCTGTTCTTGCCTCTAATCATTTATGCAGACATGTCTTGCACAGTAATTATCCATGAAAGAATCAGTGTTGTACCTCAGAGACATTCACAGGACAGCTAATGCTTCTGGTCCTCTCAAAATCCTTTCTTTCATTTGCAAAATCACTCTCATTCCTTGATCAGAAAACTGTACCTTGGCAAACATTTAAAAATTCACTTCCTGCATTACCTGCATCTGCAGACAGCTGTAATCCAGATCTCAGCCACCAAGCTATGTTAAGTCTGCTTCTTTTCCATTTGATTTTCCATTTCCAAGGGAATAGCTTCCTCTGCTACTCTTAAGCAGAACTTTTTATTTTCTCACTGCATGGCCACTCAACACTTACTTTTCCTATTTATGAAAACCCACTGAAGAATTTCAGTTTACACAAATTAATGTGGCTTCACTGAATTCACTGGAGGGTCACCAGCCTGACCCAGTGGAAAATTTGTTCTGGCTTTTTCAGATGTTTGCCATCCATTTTCATTTAGCTGAGTATAAACCTGACCACAGCTCATATTTTCTCCTGTCCATCAGACCTACCATTTCCCTGCCACAAGATATATAAGATGCACACTGGTGTTTTTAAATGAAAGTTTCCTCAGTAACAACAGAAGCTGACATTGCAGGCACTCTCCTTGTGCACTAGAGCACATCTGAGCCCTGTTGCCAACTCACATTCCTCCCCTACTCAACTACCGTGCCTGCTGCATTCAGTCACCAAAAAAGTTCATAACAATGTTTGCATCTTATTTGCATAAAATATTTATCGTTTCCCACACTAACACAAGGCTTTCCGAATGTTTAACTGCATTTAGCATGCAGACTCCTGGAGGAACTCAACTGTGGTCACTGTATGGCCAGTGATAGGCTGCAATAGGATGCCAGGATTTGATTCAATCAGTTACAGCAATGCAGTGGGCAGAGCTAATGCATGCAATCAATTTAATTTATATCAGTTCTTAGAACACCAACACAATTTCACTGTAATGTCTAATATCTGACTGATGTCTCCATAATCAAGCAGGAGCTTTTTTCTATCAGTTGATATTGCCATTCAAAATAAAGCAACAGGCCAGATCTGTACCAAAATCCAAATCCCTTCAGACTAGCTGGAGGGTTGACCTAAGAGTCAAGTGGCATTTTCAGAAACCAGACAAGAACATCAAAAAGCCTCCAAACAGTGTGGAGACCTGCATAAAAGATATATGTGTGTTTTCTTTACTTACACACACACACACGCAGGCTCTACACACAAGTGGATGCCTGTAAATGAAGTGACACAGTAACAAACAGCCCAGACTGTGCACAAACAGTGAAGGATTCAGCTACAGCCCAAATGAACCTACTCTTGTGTTCCTCCTGTACATTGCAGAAAGTTTTCCCAATAGGACAGAAAAGCACAGGAAAAAAACAAAAACAACAAGCATTGTCAAAACAAGGTTCAAAAAATGGTTCCCTGTAGGATAACAGCCTTATATTCTGTTTCATAATTGCTTCAGCTGGTATGGTTTCAGCTAGGAGAAACTTCTTTCATTTTAGCAAGGGAAGGGTGTTCCTTGACAATCTATCACCTTACTGAACACAATTATGATGAGTTAAGATGGAATATTTTCTAGGTTTAGTTTCAAAACAAGTTCTAAGTAGGCCATCTGAATCACAGTGTCTGCCAAAAGGTCAAATTAATATGATTTAATCAAACGTGTCTTATGGGGACAGTCTGCAAATGTCCTAAACAAGCACTTCACAGCATTAACACATTAATAGACAGCAAAAAGGTACTCAAAAATATGCACCCTCTATTTAGCACACAGAAAAGAAATATCAAGAAATAATATGAATTTTTTAACTAATCAAATACTGCTTGTTACATGGTGCTACTGGCCAATTAATAAAATATTTAAATTCACTCCATATATCTACATAGGAAATTGATCCTGGCAAAAGGGCAGAATCAGCAACAAATGAGGCAGTGTTATAAAATGGCGTTACCTAAGAGATCACACATTCACTTATTTAAGGTATTTAATGTAAGTTGTATTATTTTTAATTTTTTTTTATATGGACTACCATTTTTTTTTAATGCAATTCAATGAAGCCTTGATCTCATCATTACCTTGACCATTACTTAAAAGCACAAATATTTGCACTGAAGCTAATGACATCTGTCATTTATTACTAAACACAGCTAGCAATGGCTGCAGAACTGGAAATTAAAATGGAATGATATTTTCATCACTGTTGGATTCAGAGATGCTTTCTTAAGGCTCCCTACAATGCCAGGACTGCTGGACATTCCAGTTTCTTTGGTCAGCCTCAGCCTCAGCACAGATTATGTATCATTGAGACCTGTAGACCTAAACTTTGTCCCTTCAGGACTCCAAATTTCACTGTACTTATAAAGACGCCATAGAAATAGCTAGAATAAATAAAAACATAAAGGTGCTAGGCCTCCCTGCCTCAGCTCTTAATTTACAAATGACTTGAGATTACTCGTTTAGACTCATAGGATCTAGCTTCTTGGTAGTCAACTCATACAACATGCTTTGTTCTCAAACTAGGAGGTAAAAACTATTTCTAAATTCCAAAACTAAGTAAAACCAAGACAAAACAAAAAACACCACAGCTAAACAAATAATCAAAACAACACAAGAAAAATGAATATTCCATCTCATAGCACTGAACTCCTCTGTTCTGAATCATTCACCTGAGTATATTCACTGTTTCATTAGAAGCTTAAAAATGCCATAATGAATGGGACTACAAAAGAGAACAGCCATCAACAGAAACAAAGCAGAACACTCTGCAGAACGAGGTGAAATCAGACTGCAACTCATACTGCTGCTAGGAGCAAAACCAAACACAAATGCAGAGTTTCTGTAAACCTGTGTACATACATATTTGAGTCAGTTTTCAACAGGTTTTTTGTATACTCATTCTAAGCCAAGAAATAGAGCGAAACTAGAAAGTCTAATGCATGGATTCATTGTAGGCTTCTGTCTTTTTCCCCCCCAGCAAAAAAACCTTTTTTGTCTTAAAATTGTTCTAGCTAGTTTACATTTATCTAGGGCTCTGCACAGACTAGACAATTAATTCCATTTTATTTAAGAAGAAAGCCATTTTAGTCTCAAACACTACTTTCCAGAGCAACCTGATATGAAGAGCTCTAATTATTAGGATCTGAGGTGAGCTCAGATGCCTTCTTTCTGAAAATAATCAAGCTCTTGCATACCTGAGTAATTATTTCATTTGTTTAGTGACATTTTCATGTCACTTTGCCCTGCAGTACTATTACACAATTTAAAACATTTTGAACTTTGTAGTTAATTGTTTCCAACTCAACTGATGATGTGCTCTGAAACACTGCTGCAGGGGTATAAAAAAAAATATTTCCCTGTTATGGCTACTAGAGGTAGAGGTTGTCAGTTTGCTAATTTTTTTTTTAAGTGCCAATCCATGAAATTCACAATATCAACAGTAATTGACCAAACATGTTCAGAAATGCTGATTCTTTAAAGCACTTTTTCAAGTTTCACCATATTCAAATGGGATTTTTTTGGGGGGGGAGAAAAAAAAAAAAGCCCTCATAAGTTGACAAGCACACAAATCTTTATACACTTAGCTATTAATGCTATTCACAGAACATTTTCAAGTGACCAACGTAGAACATACTTACAGAATTTCTGGAGTGAAATATTAGGTCTCCTGATCGCTCTGATTCATGTCTAGAAGGAATGATGTGATACTGAATCAGTGATAATGATTACTTCTTGCTTTTTGCCTTTTTTACAGCACACAAGGAGATAAGCATTTACTCTGAAAAAATGACTGTAAAGTTAGGTAGCTGAAAAAGTTAAATAGCAAAAGCTCAAGGATGTCTGTTCAGGCAATTCAAGGATTTATCTCCTTTTAAGTATATTTTAATCCTTATTCTTCCACTACATTAACAATTTACTATATGCTTTTGTTCTACAAAGCAGGTTTAGAGACGGTTGGCAGGATTCTGTTTAGTCATCAATTAGAAATATAAATAAATAAGTCATTATTTTACACAAATTTGATTTTTATATCAAAACCCAAACAAATACTGCTTTTCCAGTGTAATATTATCCACCACACATAAGCAGGGGAAGATATGAGTATACACACTGTAGTCTATAAAAAGAATAGACGTGAGTTCTACCACGAAGAACTGAAAACAAGAATGTCTTCAGAGTACAATACTCTCTTTGTTGGCTCTTCAATAAACACAAACAACTCTGTGCTAGATCTGGCAACAAGGTGGAACCATGTGCTGTCTTGAGAAAGCTGCAGCAGTCTCCATTCGAAGCATGTCATTACAGAGCCTAAACCTCTCAATAAGGCCAACAATAACACTCCAAGTGTTACGCTTCAGATATACTCCTACAGTCAAAATGCTTGTAAAGTTACTGAAGAATCACAGCACAACATTTTGATCTATTTTTCCTTGAAGTCACTCTGTGAAGTAGAAAACAGTAGGCAACTATTTCTATTGCCAGGAAATTAGAAATAGAATGGCCAACTAAGTGAACAAAGACCTAACTTGCAAAGATGTAGAGGTGTCTATAAAGACTGCTAAACCACCTAAGCAGCTCAAGTATTTTGCAATCATTGAAATGATAGCTGGGCAATCCTTAGTAGTTTTATTCTTAAAGTTGTTTTTATGTTTATTCAGTTGTAATTTCTTTTTGTGTTTTTCATTTTCTATTTTTTAACTTTTTAATGTTGATACCTTTGCATCTACACTCATAGGCAACTGCATAGCATATACAGGACAGAGAAGCACTTTGTCCCAAACCATACATATGACTAGTAGAAAAGACTTCTAAGCCTCTGGTGCTGAGGTCTATCTGCCAGGATGAACCAATGTTTCTCACTACCAAGTGAGTGATGTTCTGTGATATTCCAGAACCCTTCCTGATGTCTGCCAGGCTCCAGCAGAGTGTGGTCCTGCCATTAAAATGGATGGGATATTGAGAGGGACTGTCTAAATGACGATTTCCAAGGCTCTTGGAAATAGCTGCCACCTGCAGTTAGCAGACAGGAGAAAGAAAAGGCAAGAAATACGATGGGCAAATCTTTTTCCCTAGAAAATTCCTTTCCTAGAAATTTCTTGATGCAGAAAGACATCCAGAATTTGGGAAGGATTTCTTGACCCACTTCTCAAGGAATCCATCTCCATATCAAGTTAAACTGTTCAGGTTTGGCAGCAGAAACATTTAGACCTCTGTGCTCCCTTACCTTCCTTGAAGGATCAAACTCCCCTCTAATGTAACTACTGTGATACAGCAGAAATGAGTAGAGCCTTTATATTCAGCACCAGCACACAGACTGTAAATCACATGGACCTACCTTGCCACGATACTGCATGACCTTAACAAAAAACAGACTCAGTAGTTTGGCCTGAAGAATACAGTAAATACTAACAACAGACAGGAAACTCAGGTCAGGTCTGAGAAGAAATTCAGATGCCATGGTGCTGAAGGTTACTGCCCAAGTGTTGGAGTGTCCTGCCATTCATGGGACACGTGGGGAGAACTGGTGGGGAAATCCAGGATGGCTGAAAAGGGAGCACCTTGGAATGGTGCTGCTGAACAACATTATTCAGTACTGGAATTTAGCAGAAACATTCTATTTAGGGCATCAGAATATGGACTGATCAGAAATGGCTGTTTGCCTTCAGCATGTTGCAATCACTTGGCCTTCTCATGTCATCCAAAGTTGCAGTAAGGGTAAGCAGCAGCTCTTATAATGTTTCTGATTGGAAAAAAGAGACAGAGCCATTTTCAATACAGGGATTTGTCTCTCAAAATATCATGTAGGGAAATAATTAAAAAGATATGGAATTAAAAATTGACTTTACAATCTGTCTGGTTTATTTGCCTAGTAAGCATTATCTTTCTAGATCAGATTCCCAGGTTTTGTTGTGGATGCAGTCTCCACAAATTCCAGTAGATTCATCCTGTGAGCATAGGGCAGCCATCTTCATCTCCACACATCTCCTCTTGCACATTGTGCACAGAAAGGACTCTGGCTATCAAAATTAATAAAATAAGCCTTCTAAACTTAAAAATAAACTAAACTAAACTAAAATAAAAATCCCTTTCTAAAAGCAAAGACAAGGGAAAAAAAGGAAAAAGGCTATTTTACAGAAGCATGAAGCATATTATTATTCTCCTGGCTAAATCTGCTCTAGTCAGATAAGGGTATTACACTTCGCTATGCACAAACAGAGTTGAGAATTTTCATGGTATAAGGCATGTTGGAGCTAAGAACTTGGCACATGAGAGCATTTGTTATCAGAAAAGCCAGCTTCTTTATTTACCCAACAGGTTGTGGTTACAATTTGCCTTATCCAAATTACATGCCAGACAGTACTAAACCAAAAATATACCAAAATGCCAGTGTATATAGAGGAGTATTAACAATTGAAACACATACTACTACATAAATTAAATATATCTATATCATTTAGAGATTCAAACAATTTCCATGAGAAATTGTAATGTTCACTTTTTCTCCAATATGTATTCAAGAAATTCAGCACATGATCCCTTCCTACAACCTTCTCCCAACATGTTTTCTTAATGGATATTAATCAAAAGGAGCCTTCCTTGGTTGGAAATTGCTATCCAGACATTAACACCTGAATTACCAATCTTATATATTATTACATGTATTATACATATATATAATATTATACATACTACATATTACATATATTATACATACATATATATAACATATATTATAACACTCCAAACCAAGAAAAAGGACCACACCACTGTATTTAAAGAGACAACCTGAGTCAGGATTTCTAAATTCTATCCCTGATTCTGTCACCATCTTAACCTTCAGCCATTAATAAGCCACTAAATTTCACCACTGTACCACAAACACATTTGTGCAGCAGTATCGTAATCAAATTTTGCAAATATCTTCCAGAAACACAAGTTTTACTATTAATGACAACACATATATCTCTCCTTGCTCTAATTTCAGACCACAGTTATATAAAATGAGTGTTATTTCTTTCTTACCTGTCACAGGACTGAGTTTACTTTACTAATGCTCATGAGAGTGTCCAAGATAGCCAAATAGAGAATATGGATAAATGCAAATACTTCAGATCATCAGGAACACTTAACTGAACTACTATCTCAATACATAACTTAATTAATCAAATTTTTAAAAAAACCTATTTAACAGGAATATGGTACATTAGGCAAAGAACATTCATAAAAACTTTCATTTTTATATGCTTAAAAAAAATGCATAGGCATTTAGCTGTGCATATACAATAATGATTATTTTCTTAATAATACTGCACAATTATGTTGCCGAAATCCTTTGTTCGTTTTCAAAGTAACTTCCCCCTATCTAAATGAATTTGAAATAACTGAAGATGAACATTATTTTTAAGTATTCAGCACGAAGTTTGTTTACAATGCAATCAAGAGCTTTTGCTAGATCAGATCAGCCAACTACGATTTTGAGGGTATTGACTACTTACACATATAGAAAGGTTACTGTAATATCTGTTTGCACATACCTATCAGAAAGGGATTGAGAAGGTTCCGGCATCCCTGTGTCGGTGAGATTAATGACTGCCAGGTAGCAAGTTACATCACAAAGACCTGAAAACATGGCAGAAGTTACAAAATAATAGTAGTACAATTGTCTTCTAAACTGATACTTTTCATTAAAAACAAACATACACCACAAAAAGAGTGAGCATGTTACAGATATAGGTTATTCAGTGAAATATCCACATTTTTAAATATATCTATCTTGAAGTACATACGACACTCCTGTTGAAGATATGACCTACTGTTAGTCCCAACGATGTACTGAATGTCAGCTGTGTGTCGGCCAATCAACTCCCACCCTCCTATGAACATGCACTAATTGTACTGGTGTGTTTGATTTGTTTAAACAGCAACAGTAATTAAGCCTCAGCCACACACAGCTGCACTTTTGGTACACTACCCAATACACAGAGATGTGTTTTAACTGACTAGGACTCCAGGAGCTAAGGGAACTCCATTAAGGTCTTTTCCCTGAGCCCAGTGCCTCCTCCCAGAGGTCAGGGCTTGGGTCCAGCGTGGCACAGGCTGGCCCAATTCCTGCAGCCCTCAGTTAGGCCAACAGCAGGGCCCTGCTCACAAGGGACGCTCTTCCTTCCTCCTCTTTGTGTTAGGAAAATATCCTGTCACTTTAAGAAACGTTCACAGAACTCACGGAGTGGAAAACACTGCTAACCTTTGAAAACTAATTATTTCTGACAGCATTCTAGAGTTGTTTAAACAGGACAAACAGAGCTATTACCCGAAACAGCTGTGCTCGGGCGCTGCCTGTGCCTCAGTTGCCCTTCCCGCCCCACATGGACTTACTTGCACAGGGGTCTGTGCACGGCACAAAACCACTGCATTGCTCTCCCTCCCTGCCACCTGCTCAGCACACCCTGCTGGCAGCCCTCGTGCAAGCAGCGCTCCACGCAGGCTGTGCACACCGAGGCCGGCCGGTCCTGCAGCGCGAGCGCCAAAGTTCACTCTCTGCCTTGGAAGGCGAGCGATTCTAGCAGCAGTCTGTGCAGCCTGTGGCTGCATCAAGGAAACAAGTTCTAAAGCTGAGGAGCCCAACAAAGCAGTGAAACCTAATTTTTGTAATTATGTACAGCAATTACACAGGAACCAATGTCTTTTTATGTCAGGAGACTGATTAAAAGCCAGATTCATTACTACTTTCCAGTCGTTTCATACTTTGGTGAAGAATTTGAAAGCTTTGAGAGAACAAACACTTGAATTTCACTTTGAAAGGTTAAGACCAAAGGGAATTGACAGCTGAGGCAATAACTTTATTTTCTGAAAAAATATACATTCTATGAACTGTGGGATCTGTTAGATCTGTGGGAATAATTGATTCATCAGTCTACTAGCCAAAAGAAAAGAAGAAAGAATTCATTTTTGGTTGTCAGCACCTCCTCTGCATAACAGTGGCAGTGCAGCAGAGACCATGGTGGAGGCAGTGGCTCCACATGCATGGTGGTAGTGCTAGACCCTAAGTGCCAGCTCTCAGAAGCGGTCTGCATTCGCCAAGCAAGGTGGAAGGATGCAGCTTGCTTCACGTTCTTGACAGGCATTTGTAACTGAACTGAAGCCAAATCTGTTTCACGCTCAATTACTAATAGTTTCTCAAGCATTGTTAATGACTGAGAACTGCATGTCCCCAGTCTTCAGCTGCTCTTTTTTTCCACATTTCCCCTGATATTGCCTGATAAGGAAGAAGACATTACGTGCTGCAGCCAATCTAAAGACCATGGTCACCTGTACAGATTAAACTTCGCCTCTCTTAGAAGAGGGGGGGGGGAAACTATCAAATGAAAATTCCTGATTTCATAAGAAAAGAAGTGCAAATGACCATGACTTCTGTATGTATTGATATCTTCTCTAAATGTTGTCACGCTTTTCTCAGTGTAACCCATTTCTTTTCCATGTTTAAACATCAAACACAGCCACAGCACTTCAGAATACTTCTCTCAGCACATAAGGGAGGAGTCTTTCAGAATGTTAACCCAACAAATACAGAAATCTTGGTCCTTCTCTCACTGCATTTCTTACCAATGTAACATGTAAGCAGCAATTGACACTCCATACAAAATCATATTCATAATATAGACTATGAAAGCATATATTTTGGGCTGGAGGAATCCCAGGCATCCATACAGACTGGAAGGAGCGGTTCTGTGAGAGGAGCCCTGTGGAGAAGGACCTGGGGGTCTTGATAGATGAAAAGCTTAATAAAGCATCTATTTTAAAAACATGAGCCAGCAGTGTGCCCTTGCAGCTAGGAAAGCAAACAGTATCCTGGGCTCCATTAGAAGAGGGGTGGCCAGCAGGGACATGGAGGTAACTGTCCCCCTCTACTCTGCTCTTGTAAAGCCCCATCTGGAGCACTCTGCCCAGGTCTGGAACACCCAGTACAAGAAAGACAGGGAACTGTTGGAGAGGGTCCAGAGGAGAGCCACAAAGATGATCAGGGGACTGGAGCACCTCCCCTATGAAGACAGGCTGAGGGAGCTGGTCTTGTTCAGCCTGGAGAAAAGAAGGCTGAGGGTGCAGCATTTCAATACCTAAGGAAGCCTACAAACAGGATGGGAATCAACTCTTTGAAAGGGTAGATAACAACAGGACAAGGAGAAATGATTTTAAGTTAAGGAAGGGAAAACTTAGGTTGGATGTCAGGGGGAAATACTTTACAGAGAGAGTGGTGAGGTGCTGGAACAGCTGCCCAGAGAGGCTGTGGATGCATGGTCCCTGGAGGTGTTCAAGGCCAGATTGGATGGGGCCCTCGGCAGCCTAGTCTAGGATTAAATGGGGAGGTTGGTGGCCCTGCATGTGGCAGGGAGGTTGAAGATTCATGATCCTTGAGGTCCCTTCCAACCCTGGCCATTCTGTGATTCTGTGGTTCTGTGATGTTATCAATATCAGTTAAATAAAACAAGGATTAAAAAACACTGTATGATGTATTACATTAAAAGCTTCCCTTCAGCCTTCCATAAAATTCTCCATCAGCACTGCCAGACATAGGAATTCTGGCTCAGCTTACATGTAACTTTAACAGTCCTTTACAGAAGCACAGGAAAGAATAATCTGCAAATTAGTTCATGTACTGCACAAGAAATAAATCATCCTGCTTAACTGCATTAGTGCAATCCCTAAAGCTACGTATTGTGCAAACAGTATTAGCACCCACCCCACACATTTTAAAGCAGAAAAATTGGTTAACCTTGCAAATCAGCTGACAGCCTGGGATGCAATAAAAACAATACACATACACACAGAACAGAACACCAAACCAAATCAAACCAAACCAAAAAGAAGCCAAACAACAAGGAAAAACATCACGCACAAAACTGAACTACCACCAGCAGGCTTCTCATAAGGCCAGACAAGACTGGACAAAATGATTTATCACAGTCTACAATTAAATGGTTCATTTTTTTCAATTTCAAAATTGATTAAAATCTGATACTGGATTTTGTGACAGTGGGATGATTAGTACTAAGGTCACTGTCCAAAGCTAAAATGTTCTATCTGGTCTTAAAGTAAGGTAGGTAATTTATCCTCATTTCATAGAAGCCTCTACTCAAAATAGCCTGAACTTCTGCATGGAAAATATACGTTTATCATCTAAATGTATTTTTCTACTAGTTCTAGACATGAAAGGAGGAGGATTATTGAATCTTATGGGTGCAGTTTCATGATCTCATTAAATCAAAGCATATCTAGGTTGCAGAAATACTATAAAACTCTATTTTTTCAATTGCTTGCTTTCTAATAAGAAGTTGGGGGTTCACCAGACATATAACAAAGGAAACAGATAGTTACAAATTGGCAAAAAATGTGCCAATTTCCCACAAAGTGGGAAAATCCTTTCACAAAAGAGTTTGCCTAATTCATATTAATTTCGTCATAGACATATCTGAATTCATTACATATTTAATTGATTTTTCTCTATCTTGTGGAGGGAAAAGACTTCAGAAGCAACATCAAATTTAGAAAAGATTTGGTAAAGATTTCTAGTATATGCTCACTAAAAAAACTCATTCTCCTCACCATAACAGATATGAAGCTACTTATTCATTGACCATGAGATAAAAATGCAATTAAAAAATTCCCTTCATCAAGATCTTTATGCAAATGTGTACATTTCTAAGTCTTTTTGCAGTCTTAATTACATGTTGACCATGAATATAAAGACATCCCATGGGACTGTGAGTCTCATATCCAAAAATAACTTCTCAAATTGCCCAAATGTATTTTTATTAAGTTATTACTAACATTTACTAAATTTGTAACAGCTGCATACATACTGCCTTTGAACACAGTCCATATTCATTTAAACATACTGTGAACATATTGACAGAGGCTGTTAGGATTAAAAAATGAATGGCATCTCAAATTTTGCGTGGACACTGCTTGCAATAGGAAGTTTGGCCCAAACTGTGATGAACTGCTCTAATCCAGAGGGGCTGAGCTCCCTACCCACAATGCAGTACCAATATAGGAAAATTGTCCTGAAATGTAAATTAAACGCATGAATTTTTAAGTGGGACATGTCAGGTCAGAATAGCAGCAAGAAGTGACTCAAAAACAATAAGCTGTGTTTGATGCCATTCTAAGGAGAAAAAGGAGGAGAGTGTTACAGAAACAGTGGCTTGTACAAGATGCCTGTTACTGCTTTGTCTAAGTCACAGGCCACTACTAGGTGAGGCTGAAGAAGAGAGGATGCAAGAGCATTAGGTGATGCAGATTTGATCCTAGAAGAATTTCATGTTTTGCAAGGTTTTTTATTCCAGTGTACATTACAGACAAAAATCTAAACCATATTCTAACACATTGCTTGTTTTCAAGGAAAGATAGAAACAAAGCTTGTGAATACAATGTGAATATGCAGATTTATTTACAGAGATAGATGCTCACCCGGCACACTGAATTTATCCTATGTGGCATCATAACTTCAGATAAGTGGTTGAACATCAGCCATACCTGTCAATGATGTTGATTCATGCAAACCCATAATCATAGGGCAACAGAGTGAAAATGCACTGTATTTTCAACTGCAGATTGTTTAT